CATGGCCACAGCATTGGGTCCATCCCGGCCCCTGGTGCTCCCAGCAGAGGCAGTGGTTCTAAACTGCTCATACCAAGGCAGATGTGGCACACTAAACAAATTCCATATATACTACCCATGACTAATGCAACGTGTCCCCAGTTAGGTCCCCCTTGTTGGGATAACCCTTCAGCAAACTACACTCATATAACTGACATGCCATTTTACCGCTGGACAAGATCAGTGCAGGGCACTCCTGTTTTTTGTTTTTTGCTGTTGTTTCTCTTGGTCATAGAAAGGAGTTAGGTTTATAAAATTTCACTACCCCTGTTACGGTCTTTCACATTCGTAAGTGAACTAGGTTTTTGTTTTAGATACAGATCACGTACACCTTATCAGGTCATAGACTTAAATCCTCCCCAGTGCCCAGGAACCAGGTATTCAGTGTGAGTCTCCTACATCTTGGACAGGAGCCCAGCTTTTGGGCCCAGGATGCTGGAGTTGGGAAGAGAGAGCTAGAATTGGACCTGGATACCAGTATGGCATGCAGTCATCCTATCCATGTCTTAACCACCTTGTCAAATGTTTGCCCTTAGTTTTTAAAAATGGCTTTCACAAAAGAATCTCATTCAAGCAACAAAAACTCTACAGTGCTGGAAATAACTTATTTACCTGTTCCTGAGGGTCATTGGTACATGGTATCCAATTTTAGACAGGGATATGTGTGGGTTTTTTGTTTTTGTTTTTGTTTTTGTTTTTGTTGGAAAGACAGATTTACAGAGAGAAAACTCTTCTGTCTGCTGGTTGTGAAACTAAGATACAGGATCTTCTGGGCCTTTCATGTGGAAGCAAGGTCCCAAGGCTTTGGGCCATCCCCTACCGCTTTCCTAGACCACAAGCAGGGAGGTGGAGCAGCCGGGACATGAACTCATGCCCACATGGCACTTGCAAGGCAATTTAGCCACCAAGCCACACTAGGCCCTGTGTACATATTTTGTAAATGTCATGTTCGTGTAGTTTTTTCATTTTATAATAGTTACTTAGAAAGCAGATCAGGTTTCAGATTTTTAGTTGACTATATATTTCTTTACATTGAAACTGTAAATTTCAGTTACACTTTTTTCTTTGAAATTTGTGGCTGAAATTTTGCAAATGGTATCGTGATATCATTTTTAAGTTAAAACACTACTAAAGACCAGTGCAAGGTGTAGTAGACTAAACCATGCATGTAGCACTGGCATCCCATAGGTGCTGGTTCTAGTCCCAGCTGCTGCATGTCTGATCCAACTCTGCTTATCACTTGGCAAAGCGCAAAGTGACTCAAGCCCTGTGGCTCCTGCACCCACATGGAAGGCCTTGAATAAGCTCCAGGCTCCTGGCATCAAATCTCTCCTCCTTTCTCTCCTCACTTTGCAGTTCTGCCTTCCAAATAAAAATAAATTGATCTTTAATGCTCCCACTTTGGTATAGGAGTCAAGCAGTTGGGCCATTTTCTACTGCTTTCTCGGGCACATTAATTAACAGGGAGCTGGATCAAGAGTGGAATAGTGCGCCCAGTGTAGCTAAAGTCATCATCTTGCATGTGCCAGAATCCCATATGGGCACTGGTTGGTGTTACGGCGGCCCCACTTGCCATCCAGCTCCCTGCTTGTGGCCTGGGAAAGCAGTCAAGGATGGTCCAAAGCCTTGGGACCCTGCAGCCAAGTGCTAGACCCAAATGAGGCTCCTGGTTTCAGATGGGTTTGGCTCTGGCCATTGCAACCACTTCAGGAGTGAACCAGCAAATGAAGATCTTCCTCTCTGTCTCTCCTTCTCTCTGTGTATCTGACTTTCCAATAACATTATTTAAATCTTAAACAAAATAGCTAGGACTCAAACTGTTGAACATATGGGGTAGTGGTGTTGTAGGCAGCAGTTTTACTGCTAGACCAAAGTACCAGCCTCCCAAACATCTCCAGTGTAATAGTTATTGCATGAGTCTAAAAATACTGTGACCACTGTGTTAGCTTTGTGTTACTACAGTGAAATGAAGTGTCTAAGACAATCTACATATGGAAGAGAGACTCTTTTTTAACTCTACAATGGTGCAGCCCTGTTGGTTTGACAATTGGCGAGAGCACAGATGACAATGATAGAGCAGTGTGTGGAGATAGGGTCGTGTGACAAGGCAAAACCTAAGCTTCACCCCACCCCACCCCAGCCTTTATAACAGTCCTCTTATGAGAATTTACTTTGAAACGCATGTCCTTTTCCTCCCATCCCCCAGTGACCTAAGGGTCTCTCATATAGCCTACCTCCTAAACACTAGTTGGATTAAGTTTCCACTCTCAGTTCATTGATATATGATTTTGAAGTTTACAGTTCTGCATGAGTTCTGGACGCACATCAAATTCAAACCATAGCAGCTCCACCTGGCTGTTATGCTCTTTGTTTTGCAGTTTTTGCAAGTGAACTTTACTATCAAGTAGCCATGTGTAGAAAGTATAGAGCATGATCTACAATGTAAAGGATTTTATCCATTTAAGTTCCTTAAAATCTAGATTTGAAAGCAAGCTTTTCTGTATCTCATTGAAATTCTGTATCTCATTGAAGGTGGCCTATGGACTTGCCATGTGTTTCATTTTGGTTGTGGCAAATGGATTACTCCTTTGATACTGGTCTTCCCTTTCTTTTTCTGCAACAGGGTCACAGAATGTGATAGGGAAGTGATGCTGCCTGAAGGTGACATCCTGTCCTCCTCTCTTCCTTCTGTCCTCTCGCTCTCTGTCTGGGCCTCCTGGTAATTGGGGAGACAGGTGGAATGCTAATCTACATTGAAATGAAATTGTTCTAAGGGATTGTTGGTATGTGTGTGTGTGTGTGTGTGTGTGTGTTGGGGAGTGGGGTGACGGGAGGGGTCCTGGCCTGCAATGGACAAATAAGTTGTCTGGCTTTTGGCACAATGTGTTTTGCGGTCTGCTTGGTGTCTTTTGAAAATTAGAAGAAAATGAAGCCATTCACCACAGGGAAATACTGAATATATCCAGAAATATTATTCAGAACTCTAGGGGCACCCTGAAGTCAAATCCTTTTGGGGCAGCAGGATTCCATATATTCTAACTTAGGAACCCTTGCCCTAGTCCCTCCGCTTGAACTAGTCAAACACACACAAGTGGGTTATGAGGGCTAGAAAATAAAGTTGATGTGATTTTAGCTCTTTGAATTTAAGTATTATTTATTATTGCTTTATCTGGAGATTTAATATTCTTCGCTTTTAAGTGTAAATCAAGGTTTTAAAGCAATATATACGAATATTGTTTTTGTGTGAATAGTAATGCATTGTGAATATATACTATGTATTTATTCATTTACCAGTGGAGAAACAATTTATTTAAGATTAATTTTTTAATTTATTTTAAAGGTAGAGTGATAGAGCCCCTTCATCCTCTGCTTTGTTCTCCAGATGGCTGCAATAGCCAGGGTTGGTTCAGGCTGACACCAAGATCCAGAAGCTCCATCCAGGACTCGTGCATGGGTGGCAGGTGCCTAAATATTTTGGGCATCATCAGCTACTTTGCCAGGTGTATTGACAAGCGGAATGAGAGACAGAAGAGCTGAGATTCAAGCCAGCACTGTCCTCTAGGATGCTGGTATCTCAGGCCAGGATTTAACCTGCAATGCCATAACACCAGCCCTTGTGATGTTTTTGTGATGAACACTTCTGATATTAGAACTTTGAATATAGACATTTGAACAGAATGATTTACTTTAGATACTCCCAAAATAAATTTGTCCAGGATGGATATAACTTAGTGTTTCCGGATTGTGAAGGATGAGATCAGGCCCTTGATGCTGAACTGTGTGTGCCAGATCTTGCTTTGTGCTTAGCAGAGAGATACAAAGTTCCACTGAGTGATGGGCTTGTATCTGGTCTTGTTTGCTTTTCAGTTTTGCATGAGTCCTTGCACTGGATCAGTGTTTCCTAAACTTTATGGAGCACCAGTTTCATGATTGTGCCTTCTTAGCATATTTCTCATTATTACTTAATTTAACTCACTTTTATAATCATTTGTGCCAAAATGATTATTGTCTGAAATATGCGTTTAATGTGCCAACTCTTTTCTGTTGGCTTGTCAGTATTGGGAATTATGTCTCACCTGAAATCATCCTTTTTTTCTTTTTAGAGAACATCAAAATCATTTTGGGAAACACCTTGCTGCTGTGTGCTGATTTTTTTTTTTTTTTTTTTAAAGATTCACTTGCTTGAGAAGCCAGCATTCTAGCCCCCTGCTATAAGCCTGGGAAAAGCAACAGAGAATGATGGCCCAGGCACTTGGGCTCTTGCTACTCATGGAGAAACCTTGAAGAAGCTACTGGCTCCTGGCTCCATACTGGATGTTATAGCCATCTAGGGAATAAGCCAGTGGATGAGAGATTTCTCTGTCTCTGTAATACATCTTTGTTAAAAGATTAAATTAAATTAAATTAATTAATTAATTTGAAAGGAAAAGAGACAGAGATAGAAACATCTTCCATCCCATCCACTGGTTCACTCTGAAAATGGCCTCGGTGGCTAAGGCTGACCAGGCCAAAGCCAGGAGCCTAGAACTGCGTCTCTGTCTTCCACACGGATGGTGGGAGCTCAGTTGCTTGTTCCACCTACCGCTGCTTTCACAGGCTCATTAGCAGGGAGCTAGATGGGAATGGAGCAGCCAGGACTCAATCTGACGCTCAGATGTGGGATGCAGGCATCACTGGTAGCAGGTTAACCCACTGTGCTACCGTGCCATGTTCTTTCCTGGGGTTTTAGAGCTCTGATTGAACCAGAATATAAGCAGCAGAAGCTACTTTGAAGTACCAGAGGAAGGCTGGTCTTGGGGTGGACTTTGTGCTGAAAGACAACTTGCTTGGGCGAGTTGAAGAATCTTGAATATGGCGACATTTGGCTGTTTGCATGGCAAAGCTTGGGATCCTAGCCTTAAAATATTGACTTGGTTTGTTTATTCTGCTTAAACATCCCATACATTTTGTTTTTTTTACAGGTTTGATCTTGCTCTTCTACCTAGTTTTTTATGTGTTTCTGGCTGCACTCTTCACATTTACGATGTGGGTTATGCTTCAGACTCTGAATGACGAGGTCCCAAAATACCGTGATCAGATTCCTAGTCCAGGTAATTATGTTGTTGTTACAGCTTTTTTTTTTAATGATTCATATTATCTTAGCCATAAATTGTTTGCTAAAACAGGTGGAAGGTAAATGTTGGGTAATGTAAACATTTTGATTTTTGCTTAATATTTGCATATTGACTTAAAGACATTTTACTTTCAAAAAGCTGATAAATCGTGACTCCTTTGTCAGGAGTCCACAGAGAAGAATATTGAGAATTCTAGTGAAAGAAACCAAGTTTGATGGAATAATGAATGACTTTTATGAATGCTGTGTGTAAGTTTTGCTTTCTAAATTCTTATTTATTTAAAAGGGCAGGGGATGGATCTGGTGCAATAGCCTAGTGACTAAATCCTCTCCTTGCTTGCGCCAGGATCCCACATGGGTAGCAATTTGTGTCCTGGCTGATCCGCTTGCCATCCAGCTCTCTGCTTGTGGCCTGAGAAAACAGGATAATCCAAGGCCTTGGGACCCTGTACCTATGTAGGAGACCTGAAGGAAGCTCCTGGCTCTTGGCTCCTGGCTTCAGATCCGATCAGCTGTGCATGTTGAGCCACTTGGGAGTAGTCAGAGGATGGAAGATCTTTTTCTCTGTCTTTCCTTCTCTGTAAAACATCTGACTTTCCAATAAAAATAAAAAAGTCAAAGGAGAGAGAGAGACATTTGCCATTTTCCTGGTGCCAGCATTATTGCATAGCAGCTAAAGCTGGCACCAATGACACTGGCATCCCATAAAGGTGTCAGTTTGTATCCTGGCTGCTCCACTTCTAATCCAGCTCTCTGCTAGTAGGCTGAGAAAAGCAGCAGAAGCAAAGTGTTTGGACCCGTGTACTCAGATGAAACTCCTGGCACAACTCTGACAAGATCTTCTGTCTGTTGCCATGGTGGTTGAAGCCAGTAGCCACATGGCTGATCGAGGGCCCGTGTACTTGGGTAATCTGCTGCTTTTCAAGGTACATAAGCAGCAAACTGGATCAGGAGCAGATCAGCCAGGAATTGTATGGATAGAATGTTGGCATTCCATGGGACAAATTAATGTGGTACATGACAACACTGGCCCTGTTTTCATATTTGAGAGGTAAAGGAAAAGAGAGAAAACTCCCATCTGCTGATTTACTCTTGATGTCTACAACAGCTTAAGCCAAGTGCTTGGAACTCAATCCAGTCTCTGTTACAGGTGGTAGGGGCACAGTCACTTTAACCTTTACCACTACTACTGACACGTTTTAGAGGGAAAAACAGTGAGTAGAAGTGCAGTGTGTATAATCCCCCCAGATGGAAGCAGCTGCTAGAGATGCTGTACAAGGGAACATTCTGTTTAGGGAAGAGGGATCTGATAGCAGGCATCCAGCAGAGGGTCAGTTTCATTTTCTGTTTGCTCTGTTAAGTCTCTCAGTGTTACTCAAAATTTATTGCTTTATTCGAAATGTAGAGTGAAAGAGGGAGAGACAGAACTTCCCATCTGGTGACTTTCCAGATGCCCACAACAGTCAGAGCTATGCCACGCTGAAACCAGAGATTTCATCTAGACCATCATCTGCTGCCTCTAAGGTGCATTAGCAGGAAGCTCAATAGAAAACAGAGTAGCAGGAGATCAAACCAGCCCTCTGCTGTGGGCTGCAGGCGTCCCACGCAGGGACAAGACCCACCCCTAATAATTACGAGTTGTGTGACTTTGTTATGATTGAACACACTCTGGTGTATTTCAGAAATACTGAAATCTGTTTATTATTACATTACATTTATAAGCAGTAAAACCTACCCAACATTTTAAAATACATGGCTTTAAACTATTTTCTAAAATTATTTTTAAAAATAATAAAAATAAATAAAATTAGTAACTAGGTAGGGGACAGATGTTTGCTATAGTGGTTAAGATGCTCTCATCCCTTGTCACAGAACCTTGGTTTGATCCCTGGCTGCAGCTCCCTGTTATTGAGGTCCCTGAGAGGCAGCTCTTATGGCTCAAATAGTTGTATTGCTGAGACCCAGGTAGGAGACCTGAAATCCCAGTTCCCAACCTGGTGTCAGCACCCGTTCCCTCTCCCACCCATTGGCCATGTGGACATTTGAGCAATGAGTTGATACATGGCTTTATCTGTTTCCCTACCTGTTAAACAAATAAAGTTTGAAAATTGTTTACCAAAAATATGTTACAGTACTTAAAAGTGCTTCACATGTGCACCTGTGTGTATGTAATGCACAATAAATACATGTGGGAAATGTAAGTATTTTAAACTATAAAGCTGAATTAATAATCAAATATCTTTTCAACAAGAAAAACAAAGTTGGGAGCTTTTCCTTCTACAGAAATATGCTTGCACTTTTTACAAGTTCAATATTGTTAACTTGGCCTAAATAAATGTTTGTCAATTCTTGGTGTGGAATTAATTGTTGAATGTTATACTCCAAGTTCCTTAGTCATATTTTAATTACAAAGGTGACAGGTACTTTGATGTCCTAAAGATTTTCTTTACATATTAATAGTAACTAGCACAGTCTGGGGACAGGCATTTGACCTAGCAGTTGGGATGCCTGCATCCCATGCCAGAAAGTATATTTTGAGTGCCTGTCTCTGATACCTTTTTTAAAAATATATTTATTTTATTTATTTGCAAGGCTGGGACAGGGTTAGGCTGAGGTCAGGAGTCTGGGACTCCATCTGATTTCCCACATGGATGGCAGGAGCCTAAGTACTCAGAGCATTATCCACTGCTTTACCTGACACATTGGGAGTAGAGTAACCAGGACCTGACCCAGCACTGCAATATGAGATGCTAGTGTTCACAGTGGCTAGTTAACTTGCTATGCCACAAAGGTGGCTCACTTCCAGTTCCTGACTCCACCTTTCTGCTATTGTACAACCTAGAAGGTAGCAGTAATGACTTAAATGAGTGTCTGTTACCTTCATGAAAGACCTGCTGAGTTTCTTGCTGCTGACTGACTACAGGCTGGGGCCATTGAAGGCATATGCTAAGTGAACCAGCTGATGGGAGCGTGTTCTCTCTCAAATAAATAAGTAAAATAGTTATATGTCAAAAGAATTTTTAATGGGAAAACCTAAAAATATTGGATGAAGGAAAATGAAAGTAAATGGTCAGAGTAGGAACAGGTGTTAAGTGGCATGGTAGATAAGCCACTGCCTGTGATATTGGCATCCATTCTGGGTTCTGGCTCATCCCTCTGCTTCACTTCCTATCCTGCTTCTTACTGATGTGCCAGGGAAGGCAGTGAAAGATGGCTCTCAAGTCCTGGGATATAGGAGCCAAGAAGCCCCTGACTCCTAGCTTGTTCTGGCTGTTTGGAGAATGAAACAGCAAATGGAAAAGCTTTCTGTAAATCTGTTGCAAATAAATAAATCTTTAAAAATAAAAAAGAACCAGTTTTGTAAAGTTACATATTTTAAAGTAATAAACCTAAGAACTCACTTTAGCAAATTAGTTTCAGGGGAGATTTCAACTGATCACGTCTGAAATGAATTTGAAGATTTACTGTTTAATTTTTGATGTCTTCATAACAAGGTAGACGTGGGTAGTTATTGATACTTTGAGCATTCCTGTAAACGTTTTCCATATAATTTACTGACAACTGCTTTTTTAAGAAAGAAGGCAATTTGATATAGGTTGTTTCCTCTTTGTCTTTGATTTCATTATAGGACTTACAGTTTATCCAAAACCATTGAGTGCATTGGAGTACACATTCAGTGCGTCTGATCCAGAATCCTACAGAGAGTACGTTGAAGACCTTAAGAGTTTTCTAAAGCGTAAGTATATTTTCTTAGATAAAAGGTTTTAGTTAGCATGTGAACTCTAGTGCCAAATTCTGATATACTTTTTAGAATGGCATTCATAGCATCTGTTGTGCCTTTTTTATCTCCTCCTGTTGAACACAGACCACTGAGAGGATGTGCATCTACATTAGTATTTGTAGTAATTACATTATAGTAATTAGTCTGACTTAGAAATATTTGGGCCTAAGCCTAATTAGTAGTTGATTGATTTTTCTATTCTAATTCTACAGTAACTACACTAAGGGTTCACTGGACACAATATTTGTGTGTGCTTTCAAAAACAAACAAAAAAAAAGATTTATTGAAGAAAATAGGTGTTACGTAAAAAGTCATGCCTGTGTTTGTATACTAGTGTAGGAGACAGAATTTTATCATTTAAAAAATAGGTCTGTGTCTTATTTAAAATCTGTGAGTTGTTTTTCAGTTTTTAATCTTCAGTACCCACTCTATCCTGCTTTTTCCTATTTTGCTTGTTCTGCTCATTTGTGGAAATAATATTAACACTCACATGAGTAATCACTACAGGCCTGGCATGTTGCTTCTTTATCACCTCATCTTAGTCACATAACCATAATTCCTGCCAGAACTAGTAGGACTCCATTGCCAAAATCATTAAGACACTGCCGCCTGTCCATCAAACTTGCTCATTTAGCTTTTGTCATATATTATTCTACCCTGATACACTTAGAATTTACTGATTTTTTTTAAAAATTTACTTGTTTATTTGAAAGGCAGAGAGACAGGGATGGGAGCACGCTTCAAGCAGTTCCTTCCTTTCCCAAATGCCTGCAGTTGGGCCAGGCTAAAGTCAGGAGTTCCACTGGGTCTCCCAAAATGAGCATTAGCAGAAAGCTCAATTGGTAGTGGTTGGGAAAGATATACTCTGTTATATAATACAGGCATCCCAGGTGGTAACTTAACTTGCTGTACCACAGTGCTGACTCCAAATGGCCACCATGCCCTCAGCTGGGCCAGTCCAAAGCCAGGAGCCAGGAGCTTCTTCTAGGTCTGCCACATGTGTGCAGGGGCTCATGGACTTGAGCCATCTTTTGCCGCTTTCCAAGGCCATTAGCAAGGAAAGGGATAGGAAACACAGCAGCTGGGGTTTGAACTGGCACCCTTGTGTTAAGCTAGCACTGTAAGCAGTGGCTTTACCTGCTGTAGCACAGAGCCGGCCCCAATGTTTTTTGCTTTGTTTTTTTATTTGTTTTGAGGGCTGTTTTATGGCAAACACTTGTCTAGGTTTCAGCAATGAACAAAAGAATGATTCTGTCTGTGTGGAGCTTATGGTCTAGTGGTGTGTTAGATGATGATACATGCTCTGCAAGAGGGAGATAAAGGAGAGTTGGGGAGGGTTCCAGTTTTCAGCAGGATGTCTGCAAGCCCTCACTGAAAGGAAACCCTTGGGAAGAACCTGAAGGTAAAATGGGATCTAGGAAACACAGAGCTCAGGGGGCAGACAGCACATGGTCACTGAGGCTTATGTTTGTCGTGTTCAGTGTGGGTCAAGGAAGCAGACGTTGGGTGCTATGAGCCGAAGGAGAGATGCAGAAGATGAAGGGCAGAAAGTTAGAGCAGGCTCGATTGTGTCGATTCTAAGAGGCCTTTATCAAGTTCTCTGCCTTTTCTGTCAAGCAAGATGGGGTATTCTGTGGACCAGAACAGTTTTAGGAGGGGTGTGCAGAGAAATCTTAAATACCTTAGGAGTAACTAGTCTTTGTGTCCTATTTAGTAAGGTATATGTGAGTCCAAGCTGACTGTTTCCTCTCTTCTAAGCTTTTCCTACTGGTCTCTGTCTATCTGATCTAATTTTGGGAGGGGGAGGCTCCAGAGCGACCCTCATTGCAAGAGGGTGGGGAGCCAAAGTTGGAACCAAGTAAGGACAAGAGAAAGCTCCTCTCCCGATTCCCGAAGGAAGTTTACTGTTCTGTTTTTGAGGACCACTCAGGGCTCCTGGCTGTTTTTCTGATGACATTAGATCCTGTGAGGAAGGATCTGGACTTCTTCCATCCCATGTGGGAGATCTGATAGGTAATGGATGACCAGTTTTCGGCCTACGAGGGCACTCCAAGTCCCCGTGGTCTCCTTGGCAGTTGGGATATAGTCCTTGGTGCCCGTACTGATAGTCCTTGGTGAGGATCCGGGAGTCTCCAGGATTGGGATACAAGCCTCCTCCTGTCCTCTTCCTCCACTCTGTGGTACCCCCCTGCTCTGTGCATGTGACCTCCTATTAAGAGGCTGTCAGGGGCCCAGAGCCATGGCCTAGCGGCTAAAATCCTCACCTCGAACACACCGGGACCATATGGGCACCAGTTCTAATCCCGGCAGCTCCACTTCCCATCCAGCTCCCTGCTTGTGGCCTGGGAAAATAGTTGACGATGGCCTAAAGCCTTGGGACCCTGCACCTGCTTGGGAGACCAAGAAGAGGTTCCTGGTTCCCAGTTTCAGATCGGCGCAGCACCGGCCGCTGTGGTCACTTGAAGAGTGAATCGTCAGATGGAAGATCTTCCCCTCTGTCTCTCCTTCTCTCTGTATATTTGACCTGTAATAAAAAATAAATAAATCTTTAAAAAAAAAAAAAGAGGTTGTCAGGATCACTCTTGGATCCCACTGTATGTCTTTATGGTTTTTGCTAATGTCTAATGCAGATTCGAGTTTGCTTGTCTGAAAGTTACCTGTTAACGGTCTTGATAGGTTATACTTAACATCTTCCTCACACTCTGAGAAGTTGGAAGATTTTTCTGCTCTGCCGACACATTGCAGAATAACATAGGGTATTAAAAACATATCAGTCTTTTCAGTTTTTTGATTTACATTACAGGCAATCTGTCTCTCATTGATTGTTGCTTCATTGGTTACATCACTATATCTTATTGCATGTGATACAGGTTGTTTGATAGTATTACAATTTATAGTACTATTCAATAAGATAACTTCATGCTTTTAAGGTTTTTGGTTTGTTTTTAGTTGTGTTTTTTTTTCCTGTCTGTGAATATTATATCTTGTAATTATGGCTTTCATATCTAACCCTTTAACTGGCTGGCACTGTTCTCTCTTATTTGTAAACTGTCATTTGAGGTAGCCTCTTGAAGTTCTTTCCTGGAAGATTCCTTTCTAGAGTCTTACCATTGTGCTGATGACTGTGTAGCTTTCAGCTGGCGGCTTTTACCCTGGAGACCTCATTGCTTTCCGTGGTTGGAACCACTCTCTTGGCTCCTGCCTCCTTCTGTCCTTGATGGAATGCATTCTGAAGCAACTTTTGAAGGCATGAAATGTAGGCCTTGAATCTTTCCACTTCCAAGTTTTGCATAGAATTTTAATTTCTTTTATTTTTGCTGTTATGCAAGGTTTTGGGGGTTTTGTTTGTTTCAATTTTCTGTATCTCTTGAGTGTTCTAAAATTTTCTGTCTGGGTTTTAGTCTCTACTCTTTAGTTGGAATTTGACTAAATCTTTTGGGGATGGACCAAGTTTTTCAGTTTAGGGGGAATTATCTTCTATTACTATATTTTTTTTTCAGTTGAAATTTTTGGTTCTGTCTGTCTAGAACTATTGTTTTAGTTGGTTGTTGGACCTCTTGTTTTTCTTTTCTGTTTTTGCTTTCTTAAACTTTGTGAAAGATTTTCAACTTTGAGGGGTTTTTTTTTGTTTTAGGATTTATTTAAAAGATGGAGTAATGGAGTAAGTGGGAAAGACAGAGAGAAATCTGCAGCAGCTAGACTGGCTCGGACTGGAATCAGCAACCAGGAAATGCTCCAGTCTCCTGTGGTGCTTGGGTCCACCATGTGTTGCCTCCCAGGTGCATTACAGGAAGCTGGGTCAGGCAACGCTCGTTGATTCTTAGGAACTCCTTTTTCTTGTTTAAAATATAAAAATATTTTGTTCAAACTATCTCTGCTTTAGGGTGATTTCTTTTCTGGTTATTTTGTTTTTCTTATTTTAGGCTTTTCTGAGACGAATGAGATTCTTGGGTTAGTCTGGGAGTGGTAACCTTTCTTTCCATCATGCCTCATGGAGGGAGTCCATAGCACACCCTTTGACATCCCACTTTTTTTTTAATATATAATTTCTATTGTTTTTTGATACAATTTAGTTGGCAGTGGGCTCTCCCCTCCCTTCCCCTCTGTTCTCCTCTCTAGAATCGTAATGTGTGTCCATCGTGAATATTTCCAAGTCTATCGTGCTTCCACTGGAGTATCTCCCAGCCATGTAGAAGAATAACTTTTCACTGTAGGTTAATTCTTGTATCCTGGGACCCTAATATAGGTACAGTGATGATTATGGGTTGTACCAATAACAGTTATATGTGAACACTGACAGTCACAGGTGGTTATAAACAATCCACCTCTTGTGGATGACATCCCACTTCTTGCTCTTTGGAAGAATCCTGCAACCCTCAGACTGTGCAGTCTGGTGGCTGCCTCCATCTGGATGCTTCCTCCAGCTTACACATACATAACAAACCTCAGCTTTAGCTGTATACCATTCCCACTGAATGCAGGCTGTGCAGGCATCCTATGTCATTACGCTCCTTTTTCAACTTGCTTTCCCACTAGCCTCTGTGTCCCATAGGCAGCAGCAAAGCCTTTTTATGTGCTCGCCATTATATCTTTTTGGGTCATTCACACAGGAAGCATTCAGATGATATTGTGGGTTGGGCTGCTATTAAGAGATTTGATTTATAGTCCAGTTTGTACGGTTGTTGAAATGCCATAAACTAGAACACTAGCTAAATGTTAAAAGCTAAAGGAACATGGCCTGGCGTGGTAGCCTAGTGGTTAAAGTCCTTGCCTTGCCCTCTCCAGGATCCTATATGGGAGCTACTTCCAGTCCCAGTGGCCCCGCTTACCATCCAGCTCCCTGCTTGTGGCCTGGGAAAATAGTTGACGATGGCCCAAAACCTTGGGATCCTGCACCCGTGTGGGAAACCTGGAGGAGGCTCTGGGCTCCTGGCTTTGGATGGGTGCAGCATCAGCCATTGCACTCACTTGGGGAGTGAATCATTGGACGAAAGATCTTCCTCTATGTCTTCCTCCTCTCTGTATATCTGACTTTCCAATAAAAATAAATAAATCTTAAAAAGCTAAAGGAACAAATTTAAAATTCTTTTCCCCAAGTTGTAAAGTAATTGGCATTACTTGGTTTATCTTTGAAGAGCATTGTTCAGAGGATGATGTATGTTGGTGGTTGTGTTTAATATGTGTTTGGGCTGACCTCACACACACATGTTTCCTTTTTAGCATATACTTTAGAAGAACAGAAGAATCTCACGGACTGTCATGTTGGCGGAGTACTCTTTGAACAGAATGGTCCAACTTACACTGCTTGTCAGTTTCCTGTTTCCTTACTTGAAGCATGCAGTGGTCTGAATGACCCTTCCTTTGGTTATGCCCAAGGAAACCCTTGTATTCTTGTGAAAATGAACAGAGTACGTACATCTTTTGCTTCTGCTGCTGCTGCTTTTTTCTAATAGCTTGTTGAGCTGACAACTGTTAGATTATTTTGATTTGCGTTATTGTCTTATTAAATGTTTTATTGGATAGCTTAATGGTGATATTTATTGATATTTGGGGAAGAGTTAATAGAAAAAAGATTAGTTCCTGGATTAATCATGGATTGTGGAATCAAAGTAACTTTATACCTTTTGCATACATATATCTAGACTGATGTTTCAGGGGGCAAGTGTTTAATTTTTTCTGAATATTAGGAAAGCATAGTTTTGTAGTAAATTGTACATGTAGTTAAGTAGTGAAATACAAATAAAATCATGTTCTAGTGGGTTCAGTGGAATGTTGTGGTTCCAGCAAAATTGGCAGCATTTTGCTGCTTCTCAGAAAGTCTGGAGTTGTGTAGCTCTTAGCAAAGTGAGACTCATGTTCCATGTGACAGTAATAATGGACTAAGGTCATTTGCACAGTCCCTTTGGTAAAGGGACTCTTAACCCCTAGAATGTGCTGCACTCTCAGTGTGTAGTTGTGGATCTGTGCCACAAAGCAGTTTTCCTTGAAGAGTAAAGTCATTCCTGGTCACTGAAGTAGGGCAGTTTCTTAAACTGATGTATACCTCCTAAGATTATGCGTTGATATACAAAGGAGGCTTCAAAAAGCTCATAGTAAAATGACTAAAAGATATTTGATACCAGATATTCAAATCCATGCATATTTTTATAAGATCACTATCAGTAAGCTAACTGGTACTGTCACTAATAAAAATAAGGTTTGAATCTTTTGAAATTGGCGCTGCTAAATAAGCATTTTCTGGGTAGAGAATCAACTATGTCCGAATTGTCCGGAGTAAACAGTGGCCCAGCCTCTGCTTCTGTTTTTTTGGAAGGCTGGGAACAATGACAGTCTGCACCTTGTCCCATAGCAGCTGGAGCACTTCTAAAACACTGCCTGGTATGGGTCCAGAGCTCAGCAAATATCAGTGGGATTTAGACTTGATTCAGCAATTCAGAATGGAGCCAAAAGCAGTGTGAAACTATATAATCTAGTTTGTAAGATGAAATTTTACTTTGATGCCTTTGGTAGTCCCAACTTGCCAGAGGAATCCACAACATCTAGGTTGTTGAAAATCTCACAGGACCAACCTTGTAAGGTTTCCCTTCTCATGACAGTGCTTTCCAGTGACTAGATTCAGGCTGCACTTGCAGTTTGGCGTGTGACCGTACTGGCCTAGACAGCCTCGGTCATAAAGGGTGAATTGTGAGGTGTGTGTGCCTAGCCTAGCAGACAGTTGGATTCCAGCACAGTCCCAAAGTCACTCTACTGGTGAGGCTGGTTATTACCATCAGTATTGTTAGGTTGTAAGCACTATTTCTTTTTGGAAAGAGTATTTACATGTTAAAAACATGCAGCATGTAAACTGTATTATGAATTTGGAATGGCCAGAAAGTCCTCTCACAGAATAGATCAGGGGCAGGGAACATTGTTCCCATGGATGCCATGAAAGGGCCCTGAAGGTGACCACAGGTAGGACTCAAAGCTCGATAAGCCTATAGCGGGATAATTTTTAAGTTGATAATTCTGTGTGACCTGTGATGATGTTATAAATGTCCACGTGGACTTTGGTAGAAAACATGCCCTATTCCTGAAATAAATGAGTAATATCTGTTTACTGTATTCGTGAAAGTAGCCTCGTTACATGGGACTGGTTGGTGCTTTGAAAGTATAAGAACACAATTCTTCTTAGCATATTTCTTTTGTGTGGTGGGTAGCTGTGAAATATGGCAAGGCTGGGTAAGAGCCTTGTAACCGGGATTGTGACCATCATATTCATAAAGAGCAATTTATACCTCTACCATTTTTATGTAGTTTAAACTATTTGTTCATGTAAACAGGTTTAAGAATTTCTATTAGTACTTTAATAGTTTTTTAGTAATTATACTAAAAGTTCATTTTAATTCTCAAAAAAAAAAAAAAAGAAAGGGAGAGTAACAGAATTGGTGTTAACTTCAACCCTCTATCCCTTGTCCCTGGTAACAAAGTGGGAGTTCCTCAGTGCCTGTGGTATTTAAAGTAACCATTGTTGTTTTCCATCTTAGATCATTGGATTAAAGCCCCAAGGAACACCAAGGATAGAATGTATTCCAAAGGTTGGTATAATTTTTTTTTGTCATTTCATTAAAGCTTTCATGTTTCTTAAAAATCAAATGAGGTTGCCTGTTTTCTTTCTTTTTTTTTTTTTTCAACATCCTCACTAGTGCCATTCTTAGTCAAAAATCCCACCAGATATTTTTATTGGAAAGTCAGATTTATAGAGAGAAGAAGAGACAGAGGGAAAGCTCTTCCATGCACTGATTCACTCCTCAAGTGGCTGCAATGACCAGAGCTGAGCTGATCTGATGCCAGGAGATGCATCTGGGCCTCTCACAGGGGTGCAGAGTCCCAAGACTTTGGGCATCCTTTACTGCTTTCCCAGGCCACAAGCAGGGAGCTGGAAGGGAAGTGGAACAGCCAGGATACAAAATGTTGCACATATGGCATCCTGGTACATCAAAGGCCAAGGACTTTAGCCAGTAGGCTACTGTGCCATCCTACCTCTGCCCCAACTATCTTGAAAACAACCCATTCTGTTTCCTGTTGATCATCCAAAATATGTCTTCCCTTTGTCTTTACACATGTTGCCTTTTCATACTCAACTGCCATATTTCATCAATTTTTTTTTAGAGTTTATTTATCTGAAAGATATCAATTCCTAACATTGATTTTCGTGTTCTCATATCAGTAACACTAAAGTTAAGATTAATCTTATAATTGAAGGTGTGTTAATGCTGATGTGCATTTTTTTTCTTTAATAGTTCATGGAGATGATAATGTGGCAAGCTATCAGTGCCATCTGAGATTAATGAAATATGGTACTTTTTCCTTAAGGTAGAATCAGTCATTGTCTTTCTCCCCTGTGAAGGCCTACTTTACGATTATTTTCAAGTGCTGTGCAGTTTTCATATCATAACTTCTTTTGTTTTCTCTCCATGCTGCAAATGCAACTAAGACAAATATGTAAAAGATGGGTAAGAGTTCTGAGGAGTTTATCGTTGTGTTAAAAATTAACTCCAACTTATGACAGATGTGCATTACTTAAGATGTTGCATTAAAGTTACGTTTAGATTGAAACAGTGTTGAGTGGCAGTGTAATTCATAACCTCAAATGAACTTTTTTTGAGGGGCGGGGCAACTTCTTACACATTGGCTCATAGATTTGGTCATGTTTCAGAATGACGTGTGCCTACCAGGTGCCCAGTCCTCAAAAGTTTACTGTTGCCACTGATGCTGCAGGACCTATACTCTGAAAACGCCTGCTTTGTAAAACATCCTTAACTAATTTTTAAAGAATATATTTTCAGTGTTTAGAATGAACAGCCTGTAAGTTTATGATTTCTTGTGTTGAACTGTGACTATACACAATTCACTTTACTTAAGCTAGTCAGCTCAGTGGCAACCTTAGAACCAGAATATTAATTAAAAACACATGCCACCTTAAGTTAACAGATGGACAAATTCTGATAAGAATCTTGTGAACATATACCGTCAGCTCTTAAGACAAAGTGAGATTATGACCACGGGTACACGTAGAAGCAGCACGGTACAGTTCTTCATGATCTGGGACTTGATTGCAAATCTTCTTGGTAGAAATTGTTCCTGAGGAGTGAGGCTGTTTGTGCCAGGGTACCTGTACACAGCACACTCTTCCTTTGCAGGTGAGGTGGCTGCTTAAGGCTTAAAATGGTGGGACTAGGATGCCACAGTCACCAGAAAGGAGCATACTTGCACAGTCAGGCCAAAAGGACAAGGCCTTTATACTCATTCTCTCAGGGGAGCCTTGGGACTAGTATTAGCTCCAATTCTCTCTTTCATGAGGGTTCTAAATACATGTTTCTCTTTATATGATAGATTGTTTACTTCTAGGATAGTTGGGGAAATGTTCATGAAAATCTAGGTCCAATGCTTTGGGTTTCAGTTTGCTATCCTTGCTTTGAAGAAATGTGTGTAAGGTACATAAAATAATCCAAATAAGTAGAGTTGTTGAGTTATCTAGTTGTGATATTCTATTTGAATTTTGTAACACAAAATTACGTTTTACTCCTAGGCTAGCTATAAATGAGGAGCCAGGTATTACCCATGTTTTAGAGATGTGACCGTGTGGAACAGATGGAAGCATTTAAATTATTATTACACTATTGTCTGTGTCAAGTGGTCTTTTAGTTCTTTGGTTGACACATTCATCTTTATTGTGTGTGTGCTTTGTCTTACACTTGTTAAGTCTATCTGCTATAGTAGCAGAAAATATAAATATAAAAACATTAATGACAGGACATGTTTCTGAAATTTACACTGGAAATAACATTTGCTATTTTTCAGTGTGCATGCTTCATTTAAGAAAAACTAGAATTGAAAGAAAAAAAATACTACCCAGAGATGATCACAGATTAGCACAGCTTGTGTTTATGCGCAAGTTCTTTATGGGTAATTGTGTAAAAGAAACAAAATATTTTCAGCAGAACTTGGTGACTGCTGATTCTATCAGAGTGCCTGGTTTTGATTAATGCCGGTAACAGTCTGGCTGCGGACTTTCCGGTTTGTGTTAATATGAAACACACATCCTAGAAGGCACGAGTATTTGGCTTCCTGACACCCATATGAGAAGCCTGGGTTGTGTTTCTGGCTCTGAACTTTGGCCCGGGGAGCTCTCTATCAGTCTGTCTGACTCTTGAGTAATTAAAATTTTGAAGGTAAATAAATTTTTTTTAAAGACGGCAACCTTCCTAGAAGAAGATTGGCTCAGACTGTCGCCTGGTGACCTTTGAGTGCATGGCCCCTCTTCTGGAATAGACTGATCCCTTTGGGTTGGTTGGGCCTCAATGAGGTTGAGTGAAATGTCTGGCAACAGGAAGTGCCCAGTGAACTATAACTTGAAGGTTTTTAGTTGGGAGAATAGCTCCACGTTTTTGTGAAGCTCATATACTAAGGTAAAATAGGTTCAACATAAGCAATACCACAGTGGCTGATTTTTTTCTCCAGTATTAAGTACTGCTTCAATTTTAAGCCTTTCTTTGCCTACCTAGGGAATACAAATATAGGGTGATGTTTTAGTAGTAGGTAAAAACGGCTCCTCTTGACCTTGTTACCTGTTCTGGGCAGTGACCCTGTCTTTCTGCGATCGCCCTTCCCATGGACATGTGCGTTCGGCCTCCTAGTGATGACAGAGAAGCAGCAGAGGAGGGCTCTTCCAGAGAGCAGTTTCTTGGCTTTTCTCTGCTGTTCTCTGTTTCCAAAGAGAGTTGTTCAAATCTAACATTGAAGGGTTTAGGAACATCCTAGTGTAACTTGTGCTTAGTAAACCTACTGCTGTTCCTACTCTCTGTGGTGTGCTTCTCATGTACAAGTTGATGTGCTAAAGTTGGTGCTAAATACATTCCATGAAATGTTCATAAATACATATCTTTCAGTAAGAATACTAGACATGAGTAATAGCATGAGTAAATTGAATTGCAGATTGTGATCAAATTTTGGCACAATTTTTGGGTTTTTTTTTTTTGTTGTTGTTGTTGTTAATATGGAATTTCAGAAAACTTGTAGTACTGGTTTGTATGCCCTTGTAAATTTACTCATGGAAAATATTGAAATATTGAAAATATTGAAGGGTTTGGTTTGGAACACCCTACGTTTTCTGCCAGTAGTTCCTGTCAGTATGATTATGAGCTGACTTCCACACCTGAATGCTGCTTTCTGGACTGGCAACTCGTGGTGGCCATACTTTCTTACAGCAAACAATTTTTATTCATTTCTCCAAAATAGCAGTCCCAAGAGTACTGTATTCCTGCTGTTGGGTGGATAAGCTGTGAGGTGTTGGGAAGCAGATTTTAGACAGGACACGAGAACGACCTGTTGCATCTTAAAAGGGACTCTTAAAGAAAAGTCTGGGTCATATCAGGAAATGAAAGAAGAATCAGTATGGCTTATGGTTAATACTTATTATTAAGACGAGCAAGTCTCCAGTCAGAAATACTGGGAAATAATACAGGTGGAATAGTGGTGTCGTTCTCTCCCATACCGTTCATACTCTGCTCCTTTAATTAGGTAAACGTTTTTAATCCTTTTTTGTGACCTAAAACAAGCTTCTTTTGCTTTCACTTCTAGGAAGAAAATGTAGCAGCCATATCAACTTATCCTAATAATGGAACTATAGACTTAAAATATTTTCCTTACTATGGAAAAAAATTACATGTAAGTATTTAAGGGTTATTATTATTTTTTTAAGATTTATTTATTGCAAAGTCAGATCAGAGAGGAGGAGAGACAGAGAGGAAGATCTTCCGTCCGATGATTGCCGATCCGAAGCCAGGATCCAGGAACTTCTCCCAGGTATCCCACACGGGTGCATGGTCCCAAAGCTTTGGGCCTTCCTCGAGTGCTTTCCCAGGCCACAAATAGGGAGCTGGATGGGAAGTGGAGCTGCCGGGATTAGAACCGGCACCCATATGGGATCCCGGTGCATTCAAGGCAAGAACTTTAGCCACTAGGCCACTGTGCCTGGCCCTAGGGGTTATTATTATGTGATACTTGCTCTTGGCTGTTTGGGTTTTAAAAAACAAATGATGTCACATCTGTGATTCAGAACACAAAACCCAAGCACAGTTTGGCCAAGCAGTAAAGACACATCCCATCTCAGCACCTGGATTTGATTCCCAGCTCCACTCCAGACTTCCCTGCTAATAATCATGGGAAGCAAAAGGTTTTGGCCACAGAGTTGGGTCCCCACCATTCACATGGGGTCCTGGAGTGGGTTGCCAACTTCTGGTTTTAGTCTCCATCCCAAGGCCACTGGCACCAACTTGGGACCTGACACTGCTGTGAGCATGTGTTCTCCCTCCCTGCCTCACAGCCTCCCAAATTGAGAGGCAATAAACACACACTTTTAAAAGCCCTACCAGACAAATGAAAGGATAATAACTTTCAAAATACCATCTTCATTATAAAAGTAGTATGTGCTTATTTAGTAAAACTAGGGAACTAAAAAATTTTTTTAATCTGAAATTACTTCTCTTTTAAGTGTATTTACTTTTCCTGAACCATTACGACTCATTTTTGTATTTGGTTTGTTTCTGTTTGTTTTTTAAGGATTTATTTTTATTGGAAAGTCAGAATTATAGAGAGAAGTAAAGATCTTCCATCCGCTGTTTCACTCCCCAAGTGGCTTAAACATCTGGGGCTGGGCTGATGCAAAGCTGGGTGCCTCCTCCAGGTTTCCCCTATGGATGCAGAGTCCCAAGGACCTGGCCGTCCCTGACCACTTTCCCAGGCCACAAGTAGGGAGCTAGATGGGAAGTGGGGCAGCTGGGACATGCACTGGCACTCACATGGGGTCCTGGCACGTGCAAGGCAAGGACCCCCAGCTACTAGGTTACCGTGCTGGGCCCAGGACTGTTTTTTGTAAGATTTTTTTCTTTTCTTTTCTTTTTTTTTTTTTAATTGGAAAGGCAGATTTACAGAGAGCAGGAAATACACAAAGATCTTCCAAATGCTGGTTTACTCCCCAAATGGCCATAATGGCCAGAGCTGAGCTGATCCAAAGCCAGGAGCTTGTTCTGGGTTTTTTGCAAGGGTTCAGGGTCCCAAGGCTTTGAGACAATCCTCTATTTCTTTCCCATGTCATAAGCAGGAAACTGGATGGAAAGTGGAGCATCTAGAACAAGCACTGATACCCATGTGGGCTCCTGATACTTGAAGGTAGAGGATTAGCCAGTTGAACTTTTGCATCAGGCTCAACATGATGCTTCTTTAAAATCAATGCTTGAATGTGTATTTTCTGAATATAAAGATACTGACTTAATGTGATTGTAATTTATTATTAGTGTATTTTGACCATATTGGATTGTTCCAGTTGTTTCAATAGTATTTTTTTGTTTGTTTTTATTTGAAAGATTCAGAGAGAAAAAGAGATCTTATATCATCTGGCTCACTTCCCAAATCGTCGCAGTGGCTGGAACGGGGCTGATCCAGAGCCTCCTCTGGTCTCCTGCATGGGTGTAAAGGCCCAAGCATTAGGGCCATCCTTCATTGCCATCCCAGGCATGTGAATAGGGTGCTGGATCAGAAGTGAAGTAACCAACACTTGAACCCATATGCTAACTACAATAGGTGGAGGCCCATCCCACTATACTGCAACACTGACCTGAGTGATAACAGTGAAAGTAAAAGTGTTGTCTTAGTCCATAATGCCATACTGTTGCTTCCTTAGAAATCTATAACCAACAGTAGTTCTTCAGTCATGGCCTTATACTTTTTTTAAAAAAGATTTATTTATTTGGGCTGGACACAATAATCAGTGGCTAAATCCTTGCCCTGTAAGTGCTGGGATCTCCTGTGGGTGCCATTTTGTGCTCTAGCTAAATGCACTTCCCATCCAGCTCCCTGCTTGTGGCCTGGAAAAGCAGTAGAAGATGGCCCAAAGTCTTGGGGTTCTGTGCCCACAAGGGAGATCCGGAGGAGACTCCTGGCTCTTGGCTTCAGATCAGCTTGGGTCCGACCATTCAGTGGTTTGGGGAGTGAACCAGTGGAAAGATTTTTCTCTTTGTATTTTCATAAATCTGACCTGCCTTTCCAGTTTGACGCCATGCCCTTCCTGCTAAAGTCCTCGCCTTGAAAGCACTAGGATCCCATATGGGCACCAATTCTAATCCCTTTAGCCCCACTTCCCATCCAGCTCCCTGCTTGTGGCCTGGGAAAGCAAGTGGGAACAGCCCGAAGTCTTGGGACCTTGCACCTGCATGGGAGACCTGGAAGAAGCTCCTGCTCCTGGCTTCAGATGGCTGAGCTCCAGCCATTGGCGGCCACTTGGGGAGTAAATCAGACAGAAAATCTTCCTTTCTGTCTCTCCTCCTCTCTGTGTATCTGACTTTGCAAGAAAAGTAAATAAAAAGGAAAAAAGAGGGTTATTGTTAAATTGCAGACTTGCAGACACGGAGCTGTATCTGCTGGTTTATTCCCCCAGTGGCTGGAGCTGGGCCAGGCGAAAGCCAGAAACCTAGAATTCTATCCAGGTCTCTCACATTGGGACAAGAGTTGGACCGTCTTGGACAAGTCTTGGACTGTCTTCCACTGCTTTTCCAGGAGATTTGGCAGGGAGCTAGATCAAAAGTGAAGCAGCTTGGGCCTGGTGTAGTGGCTCTGTGGCTAAATCCTCACCTTGCGTGTGCCCGGATCCCATATGGGCTCCGGTTCATGTCAGCTACTGTACTTCCATTCCAGCTCCCTGCTTTTGGCACGATTATAAAATTCTAAAAAAATAAGGAAACAGCTTTTCTTTTTAAGACTTTTTTTTATTGGAAAGGCAGATTTACAGAGAGAAAGATTTTCCATTCCCTGGTTCACTCCCCAAGTAGCTGCAGCAACCACAGCTGAGCTGATCAAAGTCAGGAGCCAGGAACCTCCTCCAGGTCTCCCATGAGGTTGCAGGATCCCAAGGCTTTGGGCCGTCCTGGACTGCTTTCCCAGGCCACAAGCTGGGAGCTGGATGTGAAGTGGATCAGCCAGAACACGAACCAGTGTCCATAGATCCTGGCATTTGCAAGGCGAGGATTTAGCCAGTAGGTCACTTTGTTGGGCCCAGAAAGCACAGCCTTTGGTATGCATTTCAAAGCAGTGCCTAGATGAAAATTCAACACTTTTATCAGTAAGAATCAAAGTATGACTTTGAAAAAAACCAAATAGGGCCCAGTGTGTTAGCCTATTGGCTAAATCCTTGCCTTGCATACACCAGGATCCCATATGGGTGCCAGTTTTTGCCCTGGTTGCTCCACTTCCCACCCAGCTCCCTGTTTGTGTCCTGGGAAAGCAGTCAATGATGGCCTAACTGCCTCAGGACCCTGCATCTACATGGGAGATCCAGAAGAAACTCCGGGCTCCTGGCTTTGAATCAGCTTAGCTGTGACCGTTGCAACTAGTTGGGGAGTGAGCCAGTGGGTGGAAGTTCTTTCTGTATCTCCTTCTTTCTTAGTCTGCCTTTCAAATAAAAAATAAATCTCTAACAATAATAATAATAATCTTTCTGGTAGAAAAAAGTACAGAAGGCTACTCTGAGATTTCAAATAATGTGTTTTCTTTTATTTACCAGGTGGGCTATCTGCAGCCACTCGTTGCTGCCCAAGTCATTTTTCCTGCTAACAGTACCAAGCAAGAAGTAACGGTTGAGTGCAAAATTGATGGATCACCCAACCTAAAAAGTCAGGATGATCGTGACAAGTTTCTGGGACGAGTTGCCTTCAAAGTCACAGCACATGCATAGTATGAGTAGGATTTCGCCACAGAGTACATGTTGTGTTTGTCTTCATTTTTTTATCAGCTGGACTTGCCGTTGTAGAATTCCGAGACTGCCAGAGAAAGGTGGTGCGTGGTACATGTACTGGGGTAACGTAATCATGTGCTTCCAGATCACAGTGCTCAGTGTCCTCCAAAGTAACTGCCTGTTGCCTCTGCTGCCCTGGGACCCAGTGTACAGCTGTCAGCCAGGGACTGGAGCACACCTGACTCCCAGCATGTAGGATGAGGGACCTCTCCTCAAGTGGTTTCATTGCCAAGTGTCTAAAGCTTCATGTACTGTGCTATGTAAATACTTTATGGATTTAACACTGGTTAACTCATATTCTGATGCCAACAATTTTAGGAATAAAATGGTACCTGGCCAACATCAAGTGACTTGATAGCTGCAAGAAATGTAGTGTGGGGAAAGTTCTGTTTGTGAACAATAAAAAGTAAATAAAAGTGGATTTGAAAAATGTTATCCTGGATTTTTTTGTAAAATCAGTTTTGCCTGCTGAATTAATCTGGATATTTTTGATTAACAACACAAAATTTTTGTTGCGAAACATTTTGAGGTTTTTGTTTGTTTTTTTCTTAACTAAAGGAATCATTTTAGTATAGGAGCTTTCATGAAGTATTTCAGACCATAAATAATGTGTGGGATTTTTATATTAGCCAGCATGAATCTTCATGTAATGTTTTATGAAATTACATTTATAAGATTTAAATTGTACAGTAGTTTGTGGAATATGTTACTGCTTTTATTAAGCAAGCTGTGGACTCTAACAAAAAAGATACAAATGGTGAAATGTAAGCACTTGGAAATTCTTCAGAACTTCAAACCTCGCAGTAGAGTTGAAGTGTTTTGGTTAGTGTGAAAGGGTATCCGTCCACTCTTTCGATCTTAGTTCTTGTGTGGCTATTTATCATATCTGAGATCCTTTCTCTTTGGGAAAGAAATGCTTTCTGTACGATCTGGTTCTTGTTAGAGCCTAATTTTTTGTTACTTTCCTCCTTGAAAAAAAAAAAGCAAAGCAGATATTCTTGAGGTTTCTCTGCATTGGTGCAACTCAGGACAGCTGGGAACCAGAATCGCTTTGTAGCAGAGAGCTCCAGGTGGCCTGTCGGCCGGGCCTATCGCCTGGGGTTAGCTGCTGCTCTTGAGGCAGCTGGCACCAAGACCCTAGAAGGCTCCATTCGGCAGCTTGTGGTGCTAACAGATTAGCATTGCTTGTTTGCAGATGAAGGAAGTTTACTTTTTGTTGTTAATAAAGCAGACATGAGGGTTTATTCTCTTTCCATTCTCTGGAGTGTAACACGAGGATAAAAGAATGTAGTGATGTAAGAGGCGTAGCGTGGCTTGCAGCTCGTGCATCGCTTGGCTTGGCTCAGCATGAACAGAGCCTTCACAGCTGTTGACTTGTTGAAAAGAGCTGTGGGGCAGGGTTGGGGTCTAATTGTGAAAGCTTCATCTGGGTCTCTTGTGGATGCAGGACCCACACACTTGGACTGTCCTTGCTGAATTTCCCAGGCCATTAGGAAGTTGTATCACAAGTGGAACAACCAGGACTTGAACCATTGTGCAACACTGCCAGCTCCTGGAATTTCTCTCCTCATGAGTTTAGGTAATAGCAGACAAGGGGACTAGCATTGTGGTATAACAAGTTAAGCTCTCACTTACATAGTCCAAGCATTCCATAGCAGAGTTCTAAATAGAAACAGTCCCAAGTCCCGGCTGCTTTACTTGCCATTCAGCTTCCTGTTCATGCGCGCGAGAAGGCAGCAGATGATGGCCCAAATGCTTGGCCCCCTGCACCCATATGCAAGACCAGTGGAGATCCTGGCTCTTGGTTTTGGCCTGGTCCAGCACTAGTTAGTGTAAGCATTTGGGGAATGAACTGGCAGATGGAAGATCTCTTTCCAAATCCAAGAGCTTCATCCATGTCTCCCATATGGGCTAGCTCTACTACTTCCCCAAGCCACAAATAGGGAGCTGGATGGGAAGTGCAACAACCAGGATTAGAACCATTGCCCATATGGGATCCCAGTGCATGCCAGGTAAGGGTTTAGCCGCTAGGCCATTGTATCAGGCCCACTATTTTCAGCATTCACCTTGTGTCCCTGCCCACCAGATGGCCTGGAAGAAACTGGGGTGGTATGGGTAGAGAGGGCTTTTTTCAGAAACGGGGTGCTCATGTGGAAGGTGTTCTTCATGCTCTCTGTGATAGGTATGATCCTGGCCCCCATGATCTAGGGTTACATTACATGACAAATCAGTTTTTCATGATCAAACTAAGGTGATCAGTTGACCTTCAAATGGGGAGAATCTGGAATTATCCGGGGAACCTCTGTGCAATCTTGGGAGCCTGCAATACAAGTGCGAGCTGAGCTTGGGGGGTGGAGTTCTATGAGTTAATGAGGAAGGTCTTTTTTTCTTTATATTTTTCACAATCTATGTAGTTAATTAGGGTAGAAACGTACAAGGGCTATAGGAAAGTGGGTAAAACTATTATTTCCATATTGTTTCCTTCATATGTCTGAGGTAAAGGGGATATTGAGGGAGAAGCCCCACCCAATTTCCCACCCACCCCAGGTACCGAATATGGGCCATGCTCTGAGATACTTGCTCAAGTGGTTTTGATAGTTCATCAGTTATGGATCGCTGCCAATCTCGCCACTCCAAGCACGATGAGGTCATATGGCTGAGGTGGTTGGTTGATCTTCTGTCTTGTCTTGGTTAGGGTTACCCACCATTTCGATTGGGGAGATCCCCAAAGAAACTTTGAGGTGTTGCCAGACCAGATTCTTGTTTGTACCATCAAGTACAGGGCCTGGCACAGTCCGTCAGCTGGTGGTTGCAATTGCTGAGTTGGTTCTGTTTTCAGCCTGACTTCTACTAGAACCAATGGGTGTTGCAGTCCAGCCTGGTTCTGCCCAGCAGATACTCGGCACTCACATAAACCAGTGGGAGCTGCAACCCAGTCAGACAGACCCACAATAACCCTCACCAGGTCCGCCCCCTACCCTGGTTTGCCAGTATGTATAGCAAACTAGTCCAGTCTACCCCACATCCGATTTGGCTCTCATACATGTCGGTGGGTATTGAAGCTTAGTTCCATCTAACCAGCTCAACTATACAGCCCTCACGGATGTTGTTGAGTGCCTCTCTGTCTAGCCACCCAGCCCCATCCTAGTTTTTGTGCCAACCCGTGGGAGTGGTAACCCAAGAGGGAGGAGCCCACTATTTCCTTCCCAGGTCTCTCACTCCTGTGGTATGCACTCTCCAGGTGGTTCTGTGGTTTGACTTGACAGCTCAGGCTCTCCAGTGGGAGTAGCTGTCCAGCAAGGGAACCACCCCTTATTCCCCTGCATACTCTGCCCCCTCCTTCCTGGTTCTCACACATGCTGGATGCGCGCTGCAGTCCCATTCAGTATAGGCAACCTCACCCTGGCATTCCATATTGTGGACTGGTTTTTGTCGCGACCCAACCTGGACTGACCCACACTCTGTTCTGGTGCTCGAATTTGCCAGTGGATGACATGAACAGATTCAGCCTGGTCTAACCCCGACCCCCCCATGCCAAATGTATGCCAGTGGGAAACTCCATGGCCTGTTCTGGGCTGTTTCCTATCATGTTTCTTGTGCTTTCCTGCAGGGACTGTGTCCTGCCAGAGGAGTTGCCCAGGCTCCTCCATCAGAACCCCTCCCAATGCCAGATTTTGCACATACCAGTGGGTCCATGAGCCAGCCCTACTCAGTTCATCTCCTGTCCTAGTAGGAACAGTGGCTTTTCCTGAGTGGCCTTCAACCCAAACTGGTTCTTGCTGTTGAATGGTTCAGCCCAGCCATGGCTCGTCCATACCCACATACGGCTCACACATGGTTCAGTGGGGGTTGAGACCTAGCCTAGTTCATCCCACATCTTACCCTGATCCTCCAAGACACCAGACGGTGTTGGAGTCTGGCCCGGCTTGGTGCGTCCAGACCCAGTCCACACTTGTACCAAGGGAGACTACAACTGTTTCCTGATCAGAACGCAGCCCCCATGAGGAAGGTCTTTAACCAATCATCCCCCTCTCAAGATTTGTTTATTTGAAGGGTAGACTTAGAATCGCTGATAAATTCACCGAATGATGGCAACAGCCAGAGCTGGCTTTGTCAAGCCAGTAGCTTTCTCCTGGTTTCACATGTGGGTGGAGGGGCCCAAGGCCTTGGACCATCATCCACTGCTTTCCAAGGCACATTAGCAGGCAGTTACTAACTTGACACCTATATGGAATGCCAGCATTATAGGCAAAAGCTTTGCCTACTACACCACCAACTGGCTCTAGTATTGTAATTTATTGTTATTTATATGTTTGTTTGGTTGAAAAGTGGAGTTCCATATGCTCATCACTCTCCAGATAGCCACAGTGGCTGGGAATTCACAGCAGATAGCAGTTCAAGTCCTTGGGCCCCTGATGTGCATGTGATAGATCCAAATGGAGCTCCTGACTTCAGTCTGGGTCGAGGCCCATCTATTTCAGGCATAAAAGATGCAATGATTTTAACTAGCCTGTGAAATGAGTGGTCCTCTGAGAAAGTGTCAAGTCCCCTTGTTTCCTCATCCTTCTCAGGGTTTTGCCTGTCCATCCCCCCAATCCCACAGTTGCCTCGCCTGCCCCCCTTTGCACCACTCCCTGTGTGCAGACACCTTCCTGTGCTGGGGCCATTAGCTGTGTCATGTACACTGAGGAGAAGGGAGGGCAGCTCAACTGCAGACCGTTCTGTCCTGGAGACCTCCCCTTCCCAAAAGTGCCTCCTTTGTGCACTCCTAACACTCAAAACACAGGCATCTGCCACTGGTTGTCCTTGTGGCCTTGGTCACTGCTCCGGTTCATTAGGGTTAGGGTTAGCAATTCGTTTAGGGTTAGGGTACAGTTCAGGGTTACGGTTAAGGTTAGGATTAGAGTTCAGATTAGGGTTAGGGTTCGGGATAGGGTTAGGTTTGGGGTTTGTGTTAGGATTAGGTTTAGGGTTACTGTTAAGATTAAGGGTAGTGTTAGGATTAGGTTTAGGGTTCCAGTTAGGGTTAGGTCTCAAATTTGGTTAAGTGTTAGGTTAGTGGTTAGGCTTCTGGTTTGGGTTGACTTAGGGTTAGGTTTATGAATCAAGTTAGGGTTGGGGCTAATGTTAGGGTTAGGGTTCCAATTAGATTAGGGTTAGTATTATGTTTATGGTTCGGGTTAGGGTTAGAATTCAGGTTTGGGATACCGTTAAGGGTTAGGAATAGGATCAGGGTGATAGTTAGGGTTAGGATTTGGGTCATGGTTAGGGTAGTGTATTATCTAGGGTTAGGATCCTGGTTGAGTCTTAAGGTTACACTTAGGGGTAATGTTAGGGTTAGATTTAGGGTTCACATTTGTGTTAGGGTTAGTGATAGGATTAGGGCCAGGGTTAGGCTTAGGGTTACTGTGCTTGTTAGGGTTCCATTTA